GGGCCGGGGTATTGTTGCAGTGGGGCAGCTGCTGGGAGAGAATAGACAATAGAGCAGCTGTCTTGCACTGGCACCCTGCACACCAGCTGTCCACTCTTATCTGCACACACACTTTCGGGGGATATTAAGAGGTGGAGCTGTGTGCATAGAATTGGAAAAAAGGACTTCTGACCCTCACTGGGAAGGGAAGGGGGGTGAGGGGCTGTGGGGAAGGGAGCAATTGTGAGCCCTCTTTTGTCTGTGTGCAACTGTATTAAGAAGAATGCTCATCCCCGGTGATAAGTAAAGTGCCCAGTTACGGGGCGAGATCAATACTCCTGCAGACTCCAGAGATTAACTCAGCTGCGCTTAACTGCCCCGACCTAGTAAAAGGGGCTCACTTCCCACCTGCAAGGTGCTCTTGGGATCAGGCTTGTAAAAGAGAGGTGTTCGGCCCCAGTGCTGATGTCTCTCCCTGCTTGGTTTGTTTACAGCGATCTGTTTGCCTGGATGCGATGAGCAACATGGCTTTTGCGACAAACCTGGGGAGTGCAAGTAAGTTTTCCACTCCCCTCCTGCTCCCTCCTTTGTCTTTAACATTATGCTCTGGTGTTAAGAGAGCCATTGGTCGTTTGAAGGGTCGGTTTAAATGCCTTTCTTCATATTAGATGGTAATTTGAGAAATCCAGGTGATGCCAGATCAAAGTATTAATCTAAAAGTCAAACATCAGTACCATTAATAGTAACCTAATGAGTTTACAGTGCTGTGTGTAAGGTTTAGCTGTTTGTTATTAGAGTAAACAAATTAACTACCTGGAACCATGACTCTATCTAAGGAAGTGGAAGAAATATCTGGGACCGATGAAAGCTGATGCTACGGCTGGACTCGGTGACTTTCTCACATGAAGGATCACTGAGGGCTTTTAGGAAACTTGATCCCTGACATCAGTGTGTTTGCAGAGTTTGCAGCAGGGCTTCCAACTGTGAGAAGTCTAAATCTGACAAGACTTTGTTGTTGTTTTTTTTTTTTTCCAGATGCAGAGTGGGTTGGCAGGGGCGATATTGTGATGAGTGCATCCGATACCCAGGCTGCCTTCATGGTACCTGTCAGCAGCCGTGGCAGTGCAACTGCCAGGAAGGCTGGGGTGGCCTTTTCTGCAACCAGGGTGAGTTCTCAGTCCTTGCCTGAGCGTCTGTTTTAAAACACAGAAAGCAAGCAGCTATTTCCAGCTCACCTACCCTGTGCTAGCCTTGCAAAGTAGCAAGTCTCTTGACTGCCCTCTTTTAAAAAAAAAAATCTTTTACAGACCTGAACTACTGCACCCACCACAAGCCCTGCAAGAACGGTGCCACATGCACCAACACTGGTCAGGGGAGCTACACTTGTTCTTGCCGACCGGGGTACACAGGCTCCAACTGTGAGATTGAAATCAATGAATGTGACGCCAACCCTTGCAAGAATGGTGGAAGCTGCACTGTAAGTTTGAGTTGCTTGTGCCATCTGAAACCCCAAGGGAGGAGTTAATAATGTCAGTTTTACTGATTTTCAAGATCCCTTTTTGGATTTCAAAGCAACTTCAAGTAAATATTTTGACCACTTCTCATTTCTTCCCCCCCAGGATCTCGAGAACAGTTATTCCTGTACATGCCCCCCGGGCTTCTATGGTAAAAACTGTGAGCTGAGTGCAATGACTTGTGCTGATGGACCATGCTTCAATGGTGGGCGATGCACTGACAACCCTGATGGGGGATACAGCTGCCGCTGCCCACTGGGTTATTCTGGGTTCAACTGTGAAAAGAAAATCGATTACTGCAGTTCCAGCCCTTGTGCTAATGGTAAGGCCAAACATGCTACAGTGACCTTCTAAAAGGAGACCATCCAGTTAGTTTGGGTTCTGGTCTGGTGTTCATAACAAGGCCCACTGGTCAATCAGGGTCCATGTCTTGTCAATAGTTGACTTGATGGAGGAACTGTACTTAAAAAGTAATGGTGTGGTTTGGCCCACTATTGCAGACTGCATTTTCTTGAGGGGTGACTGTGGCCAGTTAACTTATCCTGAAGCTTCATGCATAAAAATGTGGAGGGTTATACCTGCATATGTTTTGCAAAGACTCTGAGGTCTGTGGATGCAAAAATGCCATACAAGTGCTAAATATTATTACTTGTAGTCTGGTAACTAATCTTCCTGTTTTGATTAAACTAGTGAAGACTTTCTTTATTGCAGTCCTCCTCTGTTCATTGCCACCCAAACTCTGTAACATGAGATTGTGGTGTTAACCTGATCTGAACTAGCTTTGTTGTCCAAGCTGAGTGAAACATTAAAAAGGGAATAGGATGGAGAATGAAACCCAGATCTGATTAACAAATAACGTCCTTAAAAACCCACTATTTTTTATGGTAAATCAGATTTGGCAAAGGTTGAGCTAACCTCCCCAAAAGAAAGCTTTTCTCAGCTACCAGTTGTGACGGTCGCCCCGAGAGCAGCAGGTGGGAAGCTGTCAGGTCTGCCTGTCCACCACTCAGCGCTCCTTCCCCTTGATGTCTTGCAGGAGCACAGTGCGTTGATCTGGGGAACTCTTACATATGCCAGTGCCAGGCTGGCTTCACTGGGAGACACTGTGACGACAACGTGGACGACTGTGCCTCCTTTCCCTGCGTCAACGGAGGGACCTGCCAGGATGGCATCAACGACTATTCCTGCACCTGCCCCCCGGGATACAACGGGAAGAACTGCAGCACCCCGGTGAGCAGATGCGAACACAGCCCCTGCCACAACGGGGCCACCTGCCACGAAAGAAACAACCGCTACGTCTGTGAGTGCGCCCGGGGGTACGGCGGGCTCAACTGCCAGTTTTTGCTCCCTGAGCCGCCTCAGGGACCGGTCATCGTCGACTTCACTGAGAAGTACACGGAAGGCCAGAACGCCCAGTTCCCCTGGATCGCTGTCTGCGCCGGGATTATTCTGGTCCTCATGCTGCTGCTGGGGTGTGCTGCTGTGGTCGTCTGCGTCAGGCTCAGAGTGCAGAAGAGGCACCACCAGCCTGATGCCTGCAGGAGCGAGACGGAGACCATGAACAACCTAGCGAACTGCCAGCGCGAGAAGGACATTTCCATAAGTGTCATTGGTGCCACTCAGATTAAAAACACAAATAAGAAAGTAGACTTTCACAGTGATAACTCCGATAAAAATGGCTACAAAGTCAGATACCCATCAGTGGATTACAATTTGGTGCATGAACTCAAGAACGAGGACTCTGTTAAAGAGGAGCACAGCAAATGTGAAGCCAAGTGTGAAACATATGATTCAGAGGCAGAGGAGAAAAGTGCAGTACAACTAAAGAGGTATCTCTCACATCTGAGTGCGGGGGGCAGCTTGACTCTGAAGGGGGTGTGTGTTAAGCAACAGCCATCTGACATGTGTTGTCTTTTTTTTGTCTTCAATAGTGATACTTCTGAAAGAAAACGACCAGATTCAGTATATTCCACTTCAAAGGACACAAAGTACCAGTCGGTGTATGTCATTTTTTTTGAAGAGAAAGATGAGTGCATCATAGCAACTGAGGTTAGTATACTGCCTGGCAGTTAGAACAGCAGAGAAAAGTCTCGGTGATCAACCCTCATCTAACACACCTCGGTGCAGCTAAACTCTTTTCCATGGTGCCACAGCAATTTGTACGTGTTGAAAACTAGCTAGCTTGGGTTTGCCATGCTGTGGATGTTGTAAAGACAAGTTCAGTGACTTGCTGCTGTGGGTGTTATGGGTACGACAAGTTTTGCAGACAAGGGTACAGTGATAGTGTGGTTGTGATAGTGTGGTTGTGGTCTGCTGACCTACCCTTTAGTGTGCTTCATGGAGAGTCCATTCTTGCCCGATATAAAGACAGAGTCCCAACCCTTTGCAGCCTTACAGCCTTCTTCTTACTTTCCATTAACCTCTCATGATCTCTGCTCTTGTTTTCTCTCACCAGGTGTAAACCAGAGGCGATATGGCAAGGTGGTTGTTCAGAACAATTTCAGAGGAGATGTGCCCCAATGAATGCTGCTGAAAGAGGAATGGGAGATAGATTCCTTCACTGACTGCTGCTGAGAAACTAAATTCAGGCTTGAGCTGGTTCTCTACTGAAGTTAGCAAGTGACTGCAAAATAAAGAAACAAGATGGACACCAGGCAACGGTCTGTGTTCAAGGATTACTGTTGCACTGCCTTTTATGAATTTTATCATTGCACTATGGTCAGTTGCTTTTCTATATATATTTAAATGAATGGACTTAATTACTACATAAGAAGCATGCACTGCCTGAAGTGTGTATTTTGGATTCTTATGAGCCAGTCTTTTCTTGAATTAGAGACACAAACACTGCCTTTATTGTCTTTTTTGATACTAAAATGTGTTTTTACTAGGTGAGAAAAAGTGTGTTATTTTTTTGAATCTGTAAAAATATTTTCATGATAATTGTAAAGCTTGAGTATTTTGTGATGTTCATTTTTTTATAATTTAAATTTTTTGGTAAATATGTACAAAGGCACTTCGGGTCTATGTGACTATATTTTTTGTATATAAATGTATTTATGGAATATTGTGCAAATGTTATTTGAGGTTTTTTTTACCGTTTTGTTAATGAAGAAATTCATTTTTAAAATATTTTTCCAAAATAAATATTATTAATGATAACCAGAGTGCTATGTTTATTCCATAACCAACGATGGACTGACTGAACCTTGCAACCAGGCACCTGACAGGCTTCTGTGGACTCATGGGTGGATGGGGTACGACTGACACCTATCACAAAGACTGGGGAACAACTTGTTCTGTGTAGACCCCGCTCCTTCCCCTCCTAACCTGAACTGTTGACCCCATGGTTGTGCTCATTCTTACCCCAAAGGAGAATGTGTGTCAAAACCTTGAGTAATGTTTGCTCTGTCATGTTGGGCTGTGTATGTATAAACACATATGGCATTACTTCCCAAGGAAGAGCAATGTCAGTGCACTCTGTTGCAATCCAGACACGGGGCTCATCATGACTCAGCTCTGAATTTCTTGCAACCTCAAACACTTGCCTGTAGTCCAGGGGAGTCTGGGACACCCAGGGCATGCTGGCAGGGACCCCCTGCTCAGGTCCTCGATGTGCATCCATGGGATGTGAGCTCCTCCCAGTCACACCTGCCTGGGGGTTGGCACTTGCCTCTCCAGGAAAGGGCAACACTGAATTGACCGGTGGCCACAGCTTTCCTGGCTATGATACTTGTCGGAAGTATTAATTGTATCTTTGGTTTCCACTCTGCCTCTGGTGCCTGCTGCCTTCGTATTGCGGCGGGGTGTGATCGCACTCCCTGGCTTGGCCCTGAACGCTCAGGCAATTTCCCCAATTTATCTTGCCCTAACTTGCTCTCCTTCAGGATGTGCTGCATGCTAATTAGCGAAGGCCCTTCAGAAACAGGCAAAGGGTTCTTCTACTTCATGAAAGAAAGGAAAATCTAGGAAATAATTTCTTTTTTGCTCCATTAAAGCTGAACCCAAATCATTGTGGGCCACCTCCCACAACTTCGGGGAGCTGATGAAAATCCTTTGTTCCCATTCACTTCGGGGGAGAGGGATGCTATCCTGAACACTGAGTGGGATAGCAGATATAATCAACCAATTATTGCAGCTGGTGATCTGTAACTGTAAAGTATATACGTGCTGCCCTTGTTTTGGTGTACATAAGTACACAAATCACTAGAACTGTACTTTGGTGTGAGGTCAATGGAAAACTCACACTGACTGCAGGGCCTTCTCACTAAGTCAAGGTCTACCCACTCCTCGAGAAGTGACCCAACAGAGTCATCCTCTTAATTTATCCCAAAGTGTCTTTTTAGAGAAAGTTTTCATGAAGAGAGCGATGCGAAGTATTAAAAACCAGCCTGCCAGTGATGGTCGAACAGCATTTTCAATCTGAGTAGTAACATAACAACCTGTCAATAACCAGTCAACGCATCATATATTAAATGAGGCACGATGGTGTGTATGGCAGCAGGTGTTCAGAGCAACATAATCTCACAGATTGGACAAACAAGGGAGCCTTGGTAAATTTTATTGCCATCTCTGATTTGCTCTTCAACCTTGGGCGAATCACTTTATTTCTGTTTCCTCTTCTTCCCAAGCTTTTCGGAGCAGGCTTTTCTCTTATGGTGTAGTGCACTTTGCACAATCAGTGCCATGGTCTCAGCTGGGCCCTCCTAGTGCTGTTTCTGTAGAAATAGCAGTAACGAATGGAAGGTCATTGATGGCTGAGTGCCTCTATAACGTCAGGTCTTTAGTGCTACAGCAAGTACTACTTTAATGTGGTGTCGGGTAAAGGTCTTGAAAAGCACATAGCTCCTTGCTCTTGCAAAGAGGCACAGCATTGGCGTCTACCTAACTTCACTTAAAAATAAAACAAGTTCAGAAAGCTCAGTTTGTCCAACTGTGCTAATTACCAGAGGTGCTGATCTTGGTGACGGAAGGAAAACGTACTGTGGGCAAAGAGAAGGGCACCCTCTTGTCCTGCCGGAGCAACTTCTGGAATGATGGCTATGCAGATGAGCCCAAGGGCTTCTCCCATTCTGTCTTGAGCAGGGTTGGGGCTACTGCTGTGGGCAGGATTTATTTCTTGCACAGGATTACTAAGTCCCCCAAACCTAAGTGTGTGCATATATAGTGGCTCTGAGTGACCAGAGCAGATTGAGCTGTGCAGTGTGAAGCACTAGGTCCATGCTCCTCACCTTTAGTACCTGGGCCTTTCTGGGGAAAATAGTGGGTGATCTGGGCAAGGGATGGAAATCGTGGGTGTGTTTGCATGAGGAGAGTAGGTGGCACAGGCAGGTGCTGAGCCGTGTGTGCAGGTGGTGCACACTGAGGGCAAGGGGCAGCAAAGGTGCCTGCCTGCCTAGACGCTGCTGCCAAAAAGTGTCAGGAACCTCCCTGTCAGCAGGGTCTCCGAAAGGCCTCCTCATTCTAAAACGAGAGGAGAGCCTGCCTGGGGAGGCCGTTTAGCTGAGACAGCTGAGAATTCAGGGCCTGATCCAAAGCCCATTAAAATTAATGGAAAGGCTCCAATGAGCCGCAGGGACACATGGCACTGTGCCCTCCTGACACAGCACCTCTCCAGCTCTCCCCAGGGAAGTTGGACATACTGATGCAGCGCGTGTCCCCATGGGTGTGGGACGTGAATGCCCACAGCTGGTCTAGGCAGGTCTGCTGCTTGTCCCCCTGGTGCCAGCCTGTGCGCTGTGCCAGGACCATGGGGGCCTGGGGTCCCTCCTCAGGCTGTCAATGCAGCACCCTCCCTTCATGCCCCTACCTCAACTTGCAACATCTCTTCTCCTCTGCCCTGCAGCGGCTAGAGAGGGCTCGGCCTTGTTCGGTGCCAGATCTCAACAGGGTGGCTGGAGAGGGCAACCCTCGGCCCTGCAAACCTGTTTCTCTGTGGCAAGCGGCATTTGCAGGGTTGGCAAGGACAGGACTTGTCAGGAGCCTAGAGGTGCTGAAACAGCAGGAGACATTAGCTGCAGAGACTTATTAGCTGCCTTGTTTGTGGAAGAGGACTTTTAAAGTGAGGTTTGTCACAGCTTTTGAAACATGGGAAGCTTTGTGTTCAGACAGCATGTCTTCGGTTTAATTGCAAGACATGGGTTTATAAATTGCTTTAAATTGATATTTGTGCTTACTTTCTACACAGTGCAGAAGGCCAGCTTGGGTGTCAGGAAACTTGGATGCTATTCCTGGCTCCACCACAGACCTGATGTGTAACCTTGGGAGGGGAAGGATGGTCTTGTGGTCAAGGCACCGCGGAGGGACTCAGGAGGGCCCCCTTCTATTTCCAGTGCTCCATCCAGACTTCCTGTGCAACCTTGGACCTATGTCACTTAATCTTTCCAGGACCTTAGGAAAGTGGGGGCCTCCTGGTTGAGCTAACAGGGAGAAGGTCATTTGTGCTTGTGAGAGGATACTGCAGTGGTGGCGAATGCTAAAATACCCTCCAAGGCGACTCAGGCTGTTTCCTATCTCTGCATGTCAGATTGCTTGTCTGCAAGGTGCAGAGCTATTTTTGCAAAGCGCTTTCAGATGCTTGCATGGAATAAAGACCCCTATCACAATTGAAACATCCATCATCTCAGAGAGGATATGCAAACCCTGCACTGGCAGCAAGGAGACAAACTGGAGGGGGGGGAGGGAGGCAGCGGTGGTGGTAGAAGTGTGTGCAGGGGAGGATGTGATGCAGCTGTGTACCCATGTGCCCGTGGCCCAGAAAGGATGCCACATGCAGCACTGTTAGCATGGCGTCCACAGTGCCATCAGCCTCCTCTCACAGGTCAGCACCTGCAATCAAGGTCTGTAGCTGGCTTTCTGCTGTAGCAGGCTCTCTTCTAGCAAAAGCATTTTGCAGGTAGAGAAACAGATTAAACTTGGTTTGGGACTATCACGGACAAGGAGGAAAGCTGCAGAAATGATACAGATGGGAAAGCTGCAGAAATGATACAGATGGGAATGTTTTTGACCCCCGCTGACAGACCCTGAGAAACCTTACTGCTATGGCCTAACATCCAAAGTCATGTATTTCAAAGAAAATGACCTGAGAACTAGGCCAAATCCCAAACTGAGTAGCAATCTCTCATGATACCTGACATCTACTTGTGTCAGACAAATGGGGAGCCTCTCCATTCCTTTCCCTCCCTGGGAGCCACTTTTTTCACCTGGCTGTTAAGACCCGGCTTTCTGCCTGTGTCTCTGCCACCTGCTATGCAAGTCAGAGAAATCAAGAGCCTGGCCCGAAAAGGCCCAATGTGCTATACAAGGCAGATTTTTCAGATTAAACATGGGGCTTACTGTTGTGAAAACATGACAGTTGATCCTGCTGCTTGCAGCAGGCAAGAGGCAGAGGTGGACAACAGACCCGCTGCTGTGCAGGGGCTGCTGCCTGGTCAGCGGGGCAGGGAGACGGGGAGATGGGGCTGGAGCTCACAGCATCCTTGTGACAGGTTGGCTTTTTTTCTTAGGAAGAAACATTCCTGGTCTTTTCCCCCACTGCTGTGGCCTCATCTCCTGCACCAATAAATTCAGCGCTGCTGGGGCTGCTCTCTGGCCCTGTAGCCAGTCGGTATGGATCGGTCTGCGTCCATAGCGTTAAACTGCCTTGCTCTCCTAAACTGCCTGCTCACATCCACACTGCCTGTGGGGATGGCTCCTACTTTGTGCCTAGGAATGGCCTGGGTTGCTGTTAAGTGTGGGGTCAACAGCATGTCAGCGACCACTGTTAGCAATGCAACGATACAGATGAATGCACTCCAGAGACCAGGAGCTACTTAATTTGCCAGCACAGGTGTATCTGGAGCATCTTAGTGCTGT